TACTCCTACACAGCTACTACAGACTACAAAAAGACAATGCAACTGTTGACATCAGCAGCTGCCCGAAGTACTTGAAGATGCCGCCCATGCAGACCATCGCCAATACAAGGTACGTGCCCTCACATCATCATCATCATCATCATCCTTCACCTATCCCCTGACTTCACCCACACCTGTCCTCTCTGTCACCCGAAGACCACCCCTGCGCTTCACCTGTCTCTTATACACATCTAGATGTGTATAAGAGACAGCCCCTGCGCTTCACTGTAGTCCAAGCCCACCAGCTATGGTGGCTGGGCTATGGCGCTGCCCTCAGCAGCGCCCTCCTCCTCTGCACGACCGCACGTGCTGCACCTCGCCTCCCAGCGCTAGCAGCAGCCTACGAGCATTAGCTCCAGCAGTGCTGCCGCCCAGCATGCGAGTGCCTGAATGAGGCAGCCAGGGCCGGGCTCTTTCCTTTATGGAAAGAGTTGGGCTGCTCACGCAGCCTGGCTGCCTTGGCCTGGGCCCAGAAGCTTCCGGAAGGCCCCAGGAGGCTGCCTGGATGCCGCAGCTACTGGGCTGCTGGGCCTTGTTCGGTTGGGCGCCCAACTGTCTCTGTATGAGGCTGCAAATCACGGCCAGGGCCTGCATTCTTTGGAAAGGCCCGGTAGGCCGTGGAAATGTCCCTGTTGCTCGGCCTGTGTTTCTTTCAACCAACTGGCGCGTCTCAACTGCCTGAACCCCAAATATGAAATTGACAGTCGAAGGCCCTTTTTGCGAAAGCCAGGCCCGCCTTCACTCAGGGCGGGCACCTCCGCCTTCACTTAGGGCGGGTAAGGCTGCAGACAGGGCCCCATAGGCCTACCGAGGACCCTGATCCTCGCATTTATCTCACTTTGATCAAGTTTGATGGGTATTGATTATCACCTTGTAATTCATTTCGGGCACCGAAAATACATCCGTCAGATGCGGAAATTTGCGCTCTGCTTGACAACCTCGACAATCTGGATGAAACTGATCTTCTGAAGAAATTGGCTGGCATCTGTGGACCAGATACTGCAGCAGCAACAATATGGGAACACCGTCATTCGTACAGAGGGTGGCAAGAATTGATGATATATGGCACAGACAAGCTGTGACATGGAGGCATGAGGATGATGATGTTTTATCTTCTCTTAGTCATCAGCCCGCAAAAGAAAGTAGACTCAGGACAACTCGCGAGGCCATTCCGTTGCAATGGATTCAGAGATTGAGAAGAGGGCACCCAACCTATTGATGACATTAGTGCTTGACCCGCCAGCAACCCTCTTTTACTTGTGCCCTCTGCTCTTTGTCCTACTCCCACTTCTCCTCTGCATCCAACAGCACCTTCCACTTTCTTTCCTCATTGACGTATTCTTGGAGCTCTTCTAAGTGACCCTCATTTTCTTTCAAGGTGTAGGTAACCGTTGGTGTATGTGGGGCTTTCCTCCTGACCCGCATATGCTCCCTCCGCCACTTTCCCTAGTACCGTTTCGCTTAAACTTCCCTTTCACACACGGCTAGAATCCCCTTGAGAATCCATGTGGAACGAGATGCAACATGAAGTAGGTAGTTGATACCTGGCAGGGTAGGAGCCGACACACCACTGCTGACATGGCAATAAGACTGATGTGGCAGCTTGGAGGACCCAATTCACCCGGTTGGCTTTGCAATCGTTACAAGCTCTAATACCAGTGTTGTGGCATGCTGACTTCCAACTATTCAACATCCATCACCCATGCAGGCTGGATTGAAAGCAAGTCACGATTAATAGAAAACTTCTCACCAAACTTGTGTTGGAGAATCATTGCAGCGCACTCAATGGAAAGGAGAAAAAAGTATATCCACTTGGGCACCTGGCTGGCTTGAGCGGGCAGCAACAAACAGCATTGAGAATAGCACAGTGTTGAGCCAGATCACAGTCGTTATGGCTGCGGGCAGACTCTCTCCTTCAAGGCGCTAAAAATAGAGCTGCGGCTTCTCACCATGCAAAACCTCACACATGAAAACTAACATGAAACCTGCCACTGCCTCACCACTTTTCATCAAAGCGATCTCTGCCTAGGCCTACTGGATCCTCCCAACGTCTGGTCTGGAAGAACCTACCATCCTAAGTCCGGTGTCTAGGGCCAGCTGAAAGAAAGTCTAGGTCCTAGATTTGGATCTGCACAGCAGCAAACACAAAAGTTAGCAAACAGAGAAAAGACTCAGCAACTACAGAAATAGCCTGTACTTACCTCGTACTTGATCCAGGTGGTGGGTTTGAATCCCACTTGAGCCCAAGAGCCGGTCGTTGAATTCATGTTTTGTCACCTGTGATGACCTGACCAAACACGGACTGAGCCACACAGCTGATTTCTGAGTTTTGCTTATGGACTGAATACCTTGCTGAGTTTCCCGCTTGCTACCGAGTTCTCTAAGTCTGTGTGTGTGCACGCTTGCTGGTATGCATGTCTGTCTGAGTGCTTGTCGGCTTGAGTGTCTATGTGACCCGCAAGGGCACTGGTTCGTTCATTGGGCCCGCAGGGCCGGTACTTACCTGTGGCCGTGACATTGAGGATTGCAGTGGGGAAAACACTCAAGTGGCGGCGAAAGAGGCCCGCAACACTTGAAGCAGCAGGGAAACACTCAAGTAGCAGGTAGGCCGGTACCACACCCTGTAGAGGTAGATGTGCCGGGTAGTCAAGGCCGAGCAGAAGAAGACAAAAGTTGGCATTTTTAGAGGCCCAGTAGTTGTAGGCTAGGTCTAGGCGGGTACCAGTCCAACCAGTCTGAGTCTAAGACTCTAGGGCCTGTACGGGTAATATCAGGGTCTGCAATGATGTTTCCCTCCGAATGTGTGGCATACTGCGTAGCCACACGGGCCCTGCAGGGCCCGTCCCGGACTTTCAGCCTAAAAGCCTAAAAGTTAGGGCTTACAGGCCCCAGTCGTTTCAGCCTGGAAGCTGAAATACGAGGGCCTGCAGGCCCTATTCCGTTTCAGCCTATTTCAGGCCCAGAGTTTTTCCAGCCTGAACGGAGGGCCTTTTTCAGGCCCTCATTGTTTCGACCACCCCTAAGACTCAGGCACGAATACAGGGTT